TACTGTACGCAGAAGTGGTACACTTACCAACAAAATTCAGGGTTATGGTATATATATTTACCACTGCTTTAAAGCATAATGCAACTTTGTTTTTCTTGCAAGATTTCAGATTTACGAGAGATAATAAAATGCTTTAAGACGGTGATCATCTAGGTTATTCCACCGTATAGCATTCTGACTACAAGCCAACCATTCGACTAAATATACTGCCTCCATCTTCAGGGCTAAAGTTCTACTCGCCCTGATTGTCTCGTGAATTTTCGAATACGACTTTATCGCGGTCAGGAGACAGAAGGGCGGTCCTTGTCTGGGCTTCAAATGTTCTTCGTTGATTGATAACTCATACAGATCGAATGTGTAAACAATCATAACGAGTCCCTGGATCAACTGCGAAAGCTATTCGCGGGGTTAAGGGCAAACTCCCATTAACGCGTCAAAACGATCTGCCCTGCACACAACTGAGCTTTGACCTGTCGTTTTCGTGCTGTGCTCCCGAAAAAAGAACAACGGGGTTCGAACACAAGTCCGTCGGAATCGCTGCATAGATCTTCACTTGTTACTCGTTTCAACAGGTGGTGGCAGGGATCTGGGTTATCGGGCCACAGCGGGGATGCGACGTCTCACCGCATGCGCAAACAACCCCTGCGAGGGATGCTGCGAGGGATGGAGCCTACTGCTAGGCACAGGCTCAGTTGCGAAATGCCATCAACAGAGGAGTCAGCAACATAGAGCCACTGTGCGAGAAACTCTATTGATTTGAACTTCATTTCAAGATGATGAGTGCAGAAGGAAGGGCCGATACAGCGTACAGTCTTCCACATTCAGTGAAGATGAACGACTCTGTCTCCCCCACAGCTCATGACAGTAAATATAACATATCTGCGTCGGCAGTCTCGCCTATTGGCTCCGCCTTGATATTACTCCAAGGAACAATCCTCGAGGGCCACTCGTCCTTAAACCACAAAAACAAATCTGGTAGCAGCGGTGGGATTGAACTGTATGTAGATTCCAGTGGTCTTCTGTTGAACGAGACGGGTGAAGGTGTTGAGGCCCACAGCCTTCCGGGGTTAAGCGACAACGCTCGATCTGTGATAGCCGTGTACTGTGTTCTCTTCACCGTGGCTGCCATCGGCAATCTGTCCGTGTTCCTCACTCTTTTACGGGCGAGACACCGGAAGTCCAGGGTCAGTCTCCTCATGACACATCTAGCGGTCGCGGATTTGATTGTGACATTTGTGATGATACCGCTCGAGGTGGGATGGCGAGTCACGACCAAGTGGTTGGCGGGAAACTTCGCATGCAAACTATTTCTGTTCCTGCGCACGTTTGGTCTATATCTGTCGTCGAACATTTTAGTATGCATATCTCTGGACAGATACTTTGCTATTATTTATCCGCTCAAAGTAAGTGATGCGAGGAGAAGAGGGAAGCTGATGCTGCTGTTCGCTTGGTTCACGTCCTTGTTGTGCTCAATACCACAGGTGAGGGAGAGCTTATTTCCTGACGTAAGATAAGTTTTCTTTAATATGTGCAATGACTAGTGTTTTTTTATTTATTTATAATATTATGCAATATAATTTTCAACGTTGAAATATCGGTATTATTGACACCAACACTATTCAGGTGAGCGGCTTGTCTTCGGTTTCCAAGGCGTGGGTTAAGGCTCGGCAGTTTTGGGCGTTGTCATACGAGATTCTTTTGTTCATGGCCATTTCCTCTTCAGGCTTTTCGTTCTCTTGAGCCGTCCTGTCGTAGGGTTTTTTTAGTGTTCTGTCTGACGACAGGTCCATATGAACAGTATCCTTCCATCCTTTTCTCGGACTGGGACTTGTTCATATACGTTCTTGGCAGATGATCCATAAGTGGTTTGCCATTGCCTTCTTCTGTGTGTGAATGGGGTAATTGTTGGGATGCCACGGAGGAAAACTCCGTGTTGCCTAGACCACGGCCTTGCCCAACACAAGTTATAAATTCGGGCACCGCCGGGAATCGAACCCGAGACCCCCCAGGATTACAAGGCCAGCGTTCTAACCGCTAGACCACCGTGGCTCTACTATTTGTGTATGCAATTTTAATTTTCACTTGCCATAAGTATGTGTGAAATTTCCAAAACCAAAATAAATACAAAAAAAATAGGCCTGCATACAGGGAGCAGTAACAGTATCGAATTTTGTTGTAAAGACATGAACCACATTTATGTGGATCTGGATAATTTACAATGACACTTCGGTCAGGAAATTGCGTGAACAATCACATTCATATTACGGAAATCGTGTTCCTTATCACGAGGTTTCCGTTGCATTTACTTATCATTAGTGTCAATTCTCCCAAAAATCTGCATATCAAATCAATTATTCACTTAAACCCCTTTAGAGACTGAAGGTTCTCTGGGCGGTGAAAACGTCGATGTACGTAGTAACACCGTTCTGTTACACCGGTAATGAGAATAGAACGCGTATCCCTAGGGGCAGGACGTACGCAGCTGCATTTTCCTTTCCCTTTGAGAACAAAAGAGAGATGAATTTTTTTTTAATGGCATTATTAAAATATCCCCTAAAAGGGCAAATCCATTCTGTGCCAGTCTTTAAATTTCAACAGATACGATATTGTGAATGTAAAAATATGCTTCAGGCGGCAGTGAGCAATGTCACAAGGATCTTCATACCAGTGAACGAAGACTCCATTATTTATCATCAAAAAATGAATATCTGTGAGATGGGCGAGGCATGTAGTGCGCATGGGGGAGATGATACACGCGTACGAGATTCTGACTGGGAATCCCGACGGAAAGAAACCATTCGGAAGACCAAGACGTAGATGGGAAGATAATTTTTAAATGAAACATAGGAAAATAAGGAAACGTGAAGATCTACCAGCGAGGAACACAGGTAAAGTTAATCCATGTTTGCGCTCAAAGTTTCATATTCAAGAGGAATTGCCTGCAGAAAGGCATTTTATTATAACCAAAACTGTACTTTGCCAGTGTGTCTGGTGCAAAACACATCAAAGAGAATCTGAACTCAGCGTAAAATATTGTGTAATCAATCGGTACGGCGGGCGACATCGTATGACCTACCACAACACGGTTTACCATTACCACAGTTACAGCGAAACAATAAACACTACGAGAGGTGGACTTGCCAAATATGAAGATTTAACACCTCACGAAGAAAGCTGACACGTCGGTACGATGTTCGACTCCCGCCCGGAAAGTGCATGGTTCAAATACTCACTAGGGACAGACTGGAAAGAATGTAATTGTGCTTCCGAGTTTATCCACACAAAAAATTCGCACGCCCACCATAATTTTACAAAGAGCAATCATGATTTTATTATACGCTTGGCAGAGTCACCTACCGGCAGACTCCTGCTATTACCCCTAACGCTTTTTGATCGTGCACTGGGCTACAGAGAGACGTGGAAAGTATCAATGATAAGAACGGGGAACACGTCAACCTCTGCATTTGTTACAATTTCAGAACGCGTTTATCTGTCAAAGAATCGATGATGCTTTCAAAAGGAACATTTGTGCACGTATTGCAGGCTACAAGTCTATAACTATCAGGGGCACTGCGCGTTCCTAGAAATTTATTGTTCGTAGGCACACACAGCGCCGCTCCCAAAGGCACTGCATTTCCTGCGTGGGCATAATGCATCCACTCTGCGACTTACATTACTTCCGAGAATGAATAAATCGCATATCCACGTCCTACGTCCTATTGAATGCTTTTGTTAACTTTGGTTTTCTTACAGGTTTAAGTTGGGCAGACACGTACAGCGCACGAAGACTACAGACATAAGAAAAATACACAAATTCTTTGCAGGGAAGACACCACTCAGAACTAGGCGTAGATGGAGGATAACATTAAAACAGATCTTAGGCAAATAGGATTGAGGGTTTATACTGGATTAATCTGGCTCAGGATAGGGAATACTAGCAGGCTCTTGTGATCTTCTTACTTCCATAAAAGACGAGGAAGCTCTTCATTAGCAGAGCGTAGGCTACTATCAGCTTCTCAAGAAGGACTCTGACACGTGTTACATTGAAGAGAAATCTGGTGTTTCCGTTTCCGCTGTTCTTTACGGGACGTCATGTTGCTTGCAGATCGGAGTGCACATTCATTTTTCAAAGAGCACGGTACTGCAGAGGTCTGCAAAAAAAAAAAAAAAAAAAAAAAGGCTAGGCCTGGTCCTGATTGAAATTATAGCAGTCTGAAGTTATCGGGCTTTCTCGGGTCATTCGCTTTCCGTACGGGGAAAATTTCTTCCGACATGCGCTCGTTTTATGTTCGTCACAGTCACAAAATTAAGACGTAGCGTCGTGATTTAACCAGGGTTACGATGGGACTGCGCGCCTCTGATGCTCTCACATCGTCGTCGAATAATTCATTAAAGATTAATAACACTCATGCATTAAAATAAACTTGTACTGTTCACGAGATAGCCAGGATGGACTGCAAATAGATCGGGCTTCATTCGGGCTGGTATAAAGGGAAATCGGGCTTCGGTGTAGTAAGATAAACTTCGGCCCCCTGCAGACCTCTGAAACTACGAAGGCTCAAAAGTGTTCGCCGATTGACCGGCTGTGGTTTTCGTGTGCGCAGAGCGTGGTGTTCCACGTGTCGGAACACCCGGAGAATCCGACCTTCTACCAGTGCGTGACGTTCGGGTTCTTTGCGACGCCCCGCCAGGAGATGGCCTACAACCTGTTCTGCGTCGTCGCCATGTACTTCTTGCCGCTGCTGGTCATCAGCTTCGCCTATTCCCGCATCCTCTGCGTCATCGTCAGCAGATCCAGCGACACCAGAGGTCAGTACGTGTTCCTATTCACCCGACAGCCGCCCGATTACGGCGATTGGCTACGTCACATTCTCTGAGCGAAATTTAATTCGAATTAGACTGATACAGTACACAGCGAGCTTAAGAATTTCCTCAACTCTGCGGAAGGAACGGAGAGAAAACTGGGTCAGAGTAGTGAAAGGATCGACATTTAACAGAGGAAGAAAGTTCCTAAACAATACCCGTCCTTCCTTCTGATAAAAAGTATATTTGAAAGAGGTTAAGACAAAACGATGATAACAGCACAAAGGAAATAACTTGATAAAGATTTTTCCTCCGTTCCATGGTAATTCTTAATTATGATATTGTCCTTGAAATGTCGGGATTTGGTGGAATTCTATGTTAAAATGGTAGAGGTTGCGACTTCATGGCAAAAATTTGTATGTTAACATTAGGAGGGGAGCTTGTGAGGCATCTGGGGTTTGATTGTCTGTCCAGAACTTGGTCTGAGATCGAGAAAAATCGCAAAAAGCCTTAATCGCATTGACTCCTCTTTCGTATTCAAATGAAAAGCAATATATATCGAAATTTCCCTTTTGGGTTTTACACACCGTGTGCACATGTAAAGATATACCACCGTTTAGGAGGAACATACTGTCTTCATCTTCCGTCCTGAACACAGAGAGAGAGAGAGAGAGAGAGAATGTTCCTCCGAAACCCCAAAGAACATGAAAATCTTCACCGCCGTAAGAAATTGAAATATCACAACACTTCAACATTACAAATATCAACCGATGAACGTTATTTTGATAAAATTGTCACTGCTCACAGTGAGAATCATACAAACACAAAATGAAGAGTTGAAGGATGGGAAAGTGGGCGGTGCACATATTTACCACTGCGCTTTAAATGGTGATCGCCAATGCTTTAAACAAATGTAAAACGCATGACCGTAACAAAACTCATATTTGTTAGTTTTCTGGTCAGGGGACTTGCTTCTGAAGTAAACTTACACGTCGGTGGACTCCGCGTTCACGTATACGCCGTTACGTCAGAAGAGTCTCTTTCCGGGGTATTTCCCCTGTGTTATGTAAATAAACGGTGTCTGAACTGCGGACTGCATATGAGAGCCCTGATGAACCGCGTATTTGCAAACGGGGAAGACACGTGTGACTTATTACAGAGTGTAACCATGGCGATACGTACTGAAGCAGGAAAATCATCTTCACTTGGCATTGTATTAAATGGGGATGTGTTTTCGAAGCGATGTTTCGCTGCGGAGTTCGTTACACTTTCTTGTTCGTGTGTTCGGGCCGACATCCCTCGTGTTATTTCTCTCTCAAAACGAACTTATCTTCGAGTATACCCATCCACCATTTTTCGTAGCCAGGTCTGAAAAAAATTCGGCTGGAATCAAGAGTTACAACTAACGACTCTGTTAACGCAGTTTTGTGGATCCAACAGACGTACAAAGGGTCAGAGGTCACAATAAACCTCTCGAATGGTCGCTTGGAATCGTTTCCTACAGCCCGCCAACAGAAACGCGTATAACAAAACATATTTTCCCTCAGAAAAAATCTGACATTTATTTTTTATTATATTTTCTGTTCAAAATATTCGTCAATCAACACTTACTAAGGTTCAAAACACACTTTTGGAATCTGGGAGGTGACAATCGAAAGATGTCCTGTCAAAACCTAACATTTCACTAGTGTAACTAACGTAGTGCCCATCTGATATATCGATTTCTGACGGCAGTGTAGATATCGATAGACGTCTTCTGGATTCAGACGTCGTGTGATCGTGTACGAATAGCTGACTAAAAACGTTTCGGTGGGATGTAACACATCCATCCTCAGGGTGGAAGCAGAAGGCTACAAGACCACACCGTGTTACAGCCCAGGCCAATAAGAGAAAAGGCTCTCGGCGAGATACAGGCCGTAGAAAGTGTTTCCAGTCCTTCGTAAGGCCAACCTAACCTTTGCAACCACCGTTAAAGGACCCCTCCCACCCCATCCCCAGGCGATCTTCTGCCCCACGGGGGGGCCCCGTCGCACGCGCTGTCTTCCTCGCCATTACGTCTTCCTCTTGTAGCTCCATCGGTCGGAGAGCAAGAAACAACACGGCAATTGTTCCCGCTTACCCACACACTCGTCCCCTCGCCCCTCGCGTTGGCGTCCAGCCGTAAACACGCAGATGGTCGTATCGATCCCAGTCAAAGCAATTCGTAGGGGTGACAGATCCCGAAGAACTGCACGTTCATAAATTTCAAACAAAAGCAGTCTTCTTGGTTTCCTATCGCTCTTTTCCAGAGCACAGGGCCCCCTTTCGGAGGTTACCTTCGCCTTTGAACTGTGCCCACTCGATCCTGATTTGACTGCCAGAGCCATCTAGTAGTGAATCAGGAGAGACTTGGGTGAGAAGTAGCAGATGAATTTTTCTCACGAAACATCCGGCAAACAAGAGATGTACGATACTGAAAGCGCAAAGCAACTTTCGCCAACAGACAGCGAACTCCACGACCCGAGAGACCAACATGGACATCGTGACCGCCGTTAACAACCTCAGGTCTCACACACGGCCACAGGCTCGATTCATTACTTGTTTTACAAACCTGAAACGGAAAAGGTAAATTACCAACCAACCCCCAACCCCCCCAAAAAAATCTCATCGACAGTAAATTGGACGATGTCGAAGCATTTTTATATTATGCGCTACAACTTTGGTTCGGCAAATAATTTCTGGATAAAGACGGGTTATTGCGCCGTTCAGTAAGGTAGAAGTTAACAAACGTTTCGGATGTCCTTCCTGCCTCCATCACCAGGGCGATGAGATCAGTGTTAAACGTCGGTAAACTTCCACCAGTTTAAACGGCGCTACAACCCAGAAGTGAGCCGTGAAAACCTCAAATCCTACTAATTTCTGGATACAAGAAGAAATTTGCGTACTTATGTAATACTGCGAGCGAAGACAAAGAAGCGAGCCCGAAATCAGCTGTTCACTGCCACACCCCCTTCATCTTCCAGATCCAGACATAATTTCTGAATTAGACTCGTCTTCAAGGAAACAGCGTTTGGGGCACTTCGTACTAAATCAATCACCTAAGTAGACGCCATTAAGCGAATTAAAACGTTTCAGTGTGATCACCATGTCGTTGCTTAGCAACAAGCAGCTCTCCGTTACTAGGGCCGAACTGTACGCACCTACAGAAGAAAACAGTATAAGGGCTCACCCGTAATATTATTTATCGGAGCATAGGACGCCCTCGGGCTATGAAGAGATCTCTTTTCTCCTCCAATCCGTTAACATATCCACAAAGTTCCTTTGTGCTTGCAGTTGTTAGAACTGGATCCACCGACCATGGCCTCGTAGGGAGTGCCCAGTATGAGGACCACTCGATGAAGGAAGGAAGGAGTTTCCGTCTGTCAGTGCGTCAGTGTGGAAGCCTGATAATTATCAATTATAATTGTTGTCTTGTCACGGCTAGTCACGCTTTGTAAATCATCGTCACGTTTCGACACATTTGGTGATCCCTTGTCACGAGGTCAAAGCACGTCACGCCTGGTCACTAAGTCGCGTTTCGGCATGATTACGTTAAGTTACGCGCAACTCGGTTAATTTTTCCTACTTTACAATACGTTAGATGAAGTTACGACAGGTTAGGTTAGGCTAGGTTAGGTTAGGTTATGCTAGGTTAGGTTAGGTTATGCTAGGTTAGGTTATCTAGGTTAGGTTAGGTTAGGTTGTTTGTTTAGTGGATTTTGTTAGGTTATGTAACCTTTTTGAAAATTTTTGTGAAGTTTATACACTTATTCTCAGTATGGGAAATATCGAATAAGGCGGATTTAAAACATGCAAACGTGCTTTCCAAGCGAAGCATGAGAATATTAAATATTGTTCTTCGGCACGGAATACACGTTCTTTCCCCCCTCACTTCCAAGTATCACTCCTTTCACTCATGACGAGACAGACAGAAGGACACTTTCAAGCCCATATAGTGAGATGTGCTCGTGTCCAATCACGATTTCGATAACCAGAAAACGCGTGCACGGTTTCAGAACAGAGATTTGCGCTCGGCTCGTCATTTCCAGCAACAAAAACAAAACAGGCCCGTTGCTATGACAACCACGAGACCTCGAATTTCCAATATGAAGTAGGAACACCAGATACACTGTATTATATTCAATTGAAATGAAATCACAGTGTAGTTGGTTATAATACTACAGGATGACGTGTTAGCATCCAGTTAATGACGATAAAATTATAATCGAATAGCACCACACAATGTGGAAATTTGTGACTAAGTTCTTTAAAAATAAAATAAAAAAGGTACCCTTTTACGGGAAAATTCTACCAGACTACACGGTGAAAGTGCCCAGAAGACTGACATCTTCAGACTCACCGACGTGAAAACCTCAAATCCTACAGGCAAATGGGTTTTAGAAAAAAGCAGATTTTAAAAGTTTTAACTCTTTTAATGTGCATAATTTATTTGTAACTCGGTAAAATTTCGATATTTCTTGGTTATGAAAGTATGAAACGCTGTTTCTCAATATTAATGAACTTTGTAAATCGAACGGCAGACGTGTCATTGGGTGCTATTTTATCAAAGGTCGCTGTAATGTTTGCGTAGCCTCGTCTACTGATCGGCACAACTGCGTCTGCGCTGTGACCCCCGCATTTCTCGGAAACTCAGCCGAGCTACCTGTTCACTAAATCAAGGCATAAACGACATCCCATGTCTCTATTGATACTTCGTTCTAAGAATTCAGACAGAGAGAGAGAACCCCAACTCTAAGCATCTTTCAAGAAACAGACTGAAATTTCTGCGTTCAAAGTGCTCAAAATAATTGTCTGATTTATCACATTTTTTTTAAAAGGCTTCGTGAATATCAAAGTCGACCCGGCAGAGCAAGACACCAGCGTCCTAGCAGCAATTCCTGGTAGAATCTCCGCTGTGTTTACTCGCCCACTCTGTGGTGTACAATTTTCTTTCAAGATGTCGACTGTATACTCTGCTCGTCAAAAAATAGCCCACATTATTTATTAAACCAGAACGTTCATCACCGTGCTCACAAAATCCCGCTACCGCATTCTAACCTGAGCCAGCTGCATCCAGTTCGCTCCGTCGATTCCTGTTATCATCCCACCGACGCCTTCCTAGGTCTTCCCAAAGGTCTCCTCCCTTCAGGCCTCACAAAAGATGCCCTTTAAACACCTCCCCCTCCCCCATGCGTGTCCACCTCATCCTCCTCGATTTAATCGCCCTAAGAATATCAGGTGAGGGGTAGAGACCGTGTAACTCATCAAAATGCAATTTTCCTCATAATGCGTCTCAACACTCTGTTCTCAAAGACACTCAATCTATGTTCCTCCCTCTAGGAAAGAGACCGAGCTTCGCCCCCACAGAGAACAACTGGCAAAATTTACACTTTCGTAAAGTCAACCTTCAGTTCGTTTTTAATTAGACGGGAGGACAAAAGATTTTGAGATAAATGACAGTGAGCATTCCCTGAATTTAATCTCCTTTCAATTTCGTCATGAATGTCATTCTGACTTGTTGGTGTTGTAAAATCTTCACACACCTTTCTTTCACACGCTTTTACACCATTGTAAAATGTCTCTTTTTGTTGTCAGACTACATGTTTCGACTATACTTAAGTCATCATCAGGTCTGTAGACACTTGAGTTACTACACATTTTGATGGAAGACAGAATGTTTCCCCCCCCCCTGAAATCTTTAAAAACTTTAAATTACATATAATTAAAAATGTCAATGCAATGTTTATGTGTTCCTCGCTCTGGAGCTGCTGTGTGCTCCCGTAAACTCAAAGAATGTTTGTAAGTCTTTGTGTGACGTTCGCTCTGTCTGTATAAAGGGCATTCCTTGCCCGTATTATGTTGTGTTCGTCGTTCCACGATCTTGTACGTCTGGACCAGTTAATTAACATAAAAGCTGGGGTTTCAGATTGACACTCAGATAAATCAAGAAAAATGTTACTGAGAAGCAAAAGATGAAACGATTCGAGGCAGCACAAACGAAGTCTTTGAAACACTTCAGGAATGAGGGCGGACGAACTGCAGGCCTGTGGAAGAATCCTGCATTTCAGGAAAGTCCACTTTACGGTCAGACACGAAATCAACCGACAAAGCTTTCAAAAACACTTTAGGTCTGTAGTGGCACATGGCATTAGGTTCGAATATCGTTCTACTTAAAATTAAAAATAAAAGAACCTAAAACTAACACGTGTTCTAATTCCTGTACTTCACACGATAAATTCCCAAATGACATCTCACTTTTCCATAAAGACACAAAAATAGGGCCTTAGATATTTTATAATTATTCTCCAACCGGAAGTGTTACAAAACAGGGCTCTAATGAAAGAGGTGTCGCGGGTTCTATCCCCAAGTAAATATCAGATTTTAAAACGTGTCAACGTGTTTACTCGTTCACAATTGGACGACAGCTTTTTTTGTTAATACTCGCAGCAGCAAAGTGATTTCCCGGGGAAACATAAAATTACGTTTATAATTAAAACAGAAGCATACAAAGAGAAATTACATTGCAAAATGAAGGATATTTAATTTATCCGTGCAGTTTGTTGGGGGGGGGGCGCATAATCAATAGTCAAGTGACCACAGCACATGCTGCTTGGCAAACTCGCACAGATATGTTACACGTTTAACGATTAACTAGCCGTCTGTACAGCCCTGGGATAACATTCGCTAATATCATCACTGAACTAGACAGACTCTGATTCTGAATGATAAAAGCCTGTTTTACTATGATACATTTTTAATATTATCTCATTCAACTCATTCGTAGTCTGAAATGGTCCGCTCTAACCCTCTGAAGCAGGAAGTTAATGTAAATAGGGCCGATATATAAGAATTCAGTCCGTACCGCGGAGAAAACACAACTCTTCACCATTACAAAGATGAATTGGTTAACGCCGTTTAAGGAATTGATCGCTGTAGGATACTAATGCACTCTGTGGGCAAAAAGCAAAGTTGCTGCTGTCACTCTACCACCCGGATGAACGCGGCAGTTCCACTTCGTCTCGGGCATTCAGCACGAACGATGCTGGGTTCTGAAATGCCAAATTGGGACGTGATTTGTTTTGTTCCGCAGGGAAACAGCAGGACCCAGGAGAACGGACCAACGGTAGAATGCGCCTGCGCAGAAGTGACATGAGCAACATCGAGCGCGCACGCGCACGGACGCTAAGAATGACCGTGACAATCGTCGTCGCCTTCGTGTGGTGTTGGACGCCCTACGTCGTCATCACCCTCTGGTGCGTACCAAGGCTTGGTGGACATTCAACGTCTATGTTGCGGTCTTACGAAAGAGCCAAGTCGGATACCAACTTTTCGGACGAACCTGCTGCCCCAACCCTGAAAATGGAAGCAGCTGGTGCCTCCAAAACGTTGGTAACCACTACCCTTACACGATATCATACCTCGCAAAACCACAACTGATCTACTTTCCCACTTATTATCGTATTTGTCCAAAGATCTTGATCCTCCGAGCAAGATGTGAATAAGACGAAGGGTTGAAACCCTGTGTATCAGCGAGATAACAACGACGTGCTTCCTGTCTCAGGTACATGTTTGATCGCGACAGCGCCCAGCAGGTGGACTCCAGGTTGCAGGACGCGCTCTTCATCATGGTCGTGTCGAATTCGTGTGTGAACCCGTTGGTGTACGGATCTTATACGACCAACTTCCGACGCGAATGCAAGCTCTGCTTCGGAAGAACTTTCGGCGACTCCAGGCGATGCCGTTCTCCGGGTGAGTAATGGAACTCCAGGCGCACTGCGAGTTCCCTGTGTCTACGGTGCGTTAGAACCGGCCCCTTCTAACCGCAAGGTAAGACACTCTCTTCACACAGGAGCTTCGTCAAACACAAAATCGAAAACTGATACAGAACATAATTCTTACGGCGCTCACAGCAAATCCTTTGTGGTTAGCGCATTAACCTTTGCTCTGAAAGCTTTTAAGGTCCTCGTTATTTCGTTTCGACAACCAACCCCAAGGCCCCCCCAGAGTTATCGGATAAATATGGCAATTCTGGTCTTCGGGGTCTATGCAAAAATTCTTTCTAACGTCCTGCCCCTTATCACTGCGTCTGGAAAAGGTCATGTCTCTGTGGGAATGGTCCTCGTTGTAAATCTCCCCACATCACACACGAATTAATATGGAATGATATTACAGAGAAAAACTTTTCCACCACAAATACCTCGCGTACTGACCTAGGCACAAACCCTTCTGACTCCTTGCTCCCAGATTACAGTGCCTTGCCCTTCCTGTCCTGTATTTCTAAAACTTGTTCAAGTGTCGTCTGCTGTGAGCTGTATAAAGTGCCCCCCCCCCGGGCCCTTAATCCAATAAAAAGTTTCAAGCCTATTTGTGATTGAATTTATGTTGAACGAAAACTCAATGGAGTGTTGTGATTTTATACGACGTGCAATAAATATGGAAGCGATTATATCTCAGTCAAGCACAGCTGTCTTATGAATGCTACAAACACAATTTATTTCGTCAACAGATTAAATGTTTCCAAAATTCACGAATGGAAATTTCGCATGCGATAATCCTGTAACCTGTAACCCAGTGGCATCTACAAGTGCCACGTGCTTTAACATTTAATAACTGTGCATTTCGTGTGATTCTTAGTTTAAACAGCGATTATTTCCATAAACAGCGTTAACCAGTTGATCTTTGTAATGGTGAAGTGTTATGTTCTCTTTTTATCGCTCTTATATTCCACATTTTATCGGTGTTGGGACGATAGGCGACTATGAACGCCGATTTACTGTAGTCGTATCGTATGACATATTCGGAATGCGTTTCTTTTCTGGCGTCGCCACGCTCAGCATCGGATTTCCGGTGCAGTGTGGTACGCGGTCTCGATGGTGACGATGTCAGTGTAGCAATGCCCATGTCAATTAAGTTCTTAATGTCTTGACGGAGAAGTTACAATTTGCGTTAAGCGTACGTGGCACAGAATATGGAGTCAAAAACGTCCATTTCCAAGCGGAGGTTCGAGCAATTTTGAACAGATTACAAAGGAAATGAACCAGAGTCACAAATGTCTTCCCTCTTATTTCCCGCATCAGTACTTAGTTTCTAACCATTTATCTCTGGTCGCCTCTTCCCTTCTTCACTTCTGGTTTCCCTTTCAGCGTCTTTCTCTATTTTGTAAACGTAGACACAAATCCGATTAAATGAGAATCGGCCGCCTGTCCGAGCACGCGCAACAGAAATCGATGTGGCCGTGTTCCGAGAAGAACTTCGACGCAGAAGAGAGAGGGAGAGATGTATTAATTGGGAAATTGATAACCATCTGCAGCTGGCAAGTTGCTCGTATCTCCCATTATCGCCGTTCATGCAGAAGTTGAAACACTTTGGTATGATAGCGCACGTTGTACTTCGTTGGCGAAAAAGTATTTATCCTTCAGAACCTTGGGGTAGTTATGTGTACCACGTGATTTAGCAATCAACAACTTTAAATTTTGTATTTATGCGTTTCGTATTAATTCTTAGTGTAAACTGCTATTATTCCCTTAAACGGCGTTAACCAGTTGATCTTTGTAATGGTGAAGTGTGGTGTTTTCTTCGCGGTACGGACTGAATTCTTTAAATAATATTTAGACGAGCTTCGGCTTCAAAGGGTTAAAAGGTTCATGGACACAGCAGGTCTTGCGAAGTTAATAATAATTATTCAGCTGTTCGACAAAATCTCAGGAACCAGAACTTGCAATACCATATTCACGAAAGCAAACCAATGGTTTGTATCCTGAGCCAGATGAATCCGTCCACATTCTATTTCCCATTTCTTAAACATCCGTTTCAATTCTTATCCTCAGGTTTTCGCGACTGGAGTTCATATGCAACTTCGGCTTTCAGGGATGTTAAAAATTATCCGACGTTTCGGACAAACATAACAGTTGCCATCTTCGGGGTTATGGTTGGGATGTTTTGGCAGCCTTTCCGTGCAAAGAGTAGGTAGAGAGTTAATTTTGATGGTACTACTTGGTGGAGATGGAAAGATTAGAGTCCCATTAGATATTCACCCTGAAGATGGCAAGTGTTTTAATTGTAGTGAGAGAAACGGCGGTTCTTGTCATGAACTTCTTTATTGGACGCCATGTTAGAGCGTCAATTGTTTGATTCGTCACTAATTTCGTGCAAACTGACGGTGGTGCAGATGAACAAATTTGCGCCATTTTAACTGCGTTTTCAGTGTCATCCACCCAGCGCCATATTAAGTCTCTTCAGAGCGCCAACATACGTACATGAGCATGACATGTCCACATGGGCTACGACCCGGGGGTGAAGCTGGGGTGAAAGACCCGGTTATAATTACGCATACACTGTAAGAACTGCCGAAGGACACGCTCCTCTTGTGAGCTGAATCAATTTACCGGGCAAGGACAGAGTCGACGCAGAGAGAAATAGAGGATGACAGAGAACGAAATAAAGCGAGAGGGAATGAGAGAGACTGAATTGAAGACAACAAAACAAGCAGCAGAGAGAGTTTACGGCAGGGCTCCGCAAATTCTCCAGAACTGGGGTCATATTCGCCTCGTAGGAAGCAGAGTTAGTACGGACGATTTATTTGAAGATCATGACAGTTCATAAAAATGTGCCTACTACTGTAAACAGGTTCAAATATTAATCAGAAATTTTTTTCTCGAGAATTATGACGCTTACTGCCTCCAAGATGAAAACTCCAATAAACGTCCGACAGACTACAGAAGCTTCAACACACAAGACAGCCATCATTTTAATCGCTGTAGAAAAAACCCAGATCTCACCCGGACCAAAGCCACCCTCTACATAAATCTGTCATTAAATAATCATCCAGGCAGATGATGTAAGCTTTGGCGACGGTATTTTTGTAGCAAATTTAATGGCGCGGTTTGCTAAATCAGACTGGAAGAAAATAAGATGTAGAACCTTGACCTGGACCTACAAAACTTTTGCGGCCCGTTTAAGACGATTTCCACGCGGCGACGAGATTATCTTGTGCGTCAGTCAATGGCGGTCGCTTCTACCTCGGACTTGTGTCTTGTTTGAAATTCTCTACTCGGACCGGGACTCGCCTGACTTATGGCGCTCTGTTCTAGTCCACTCGCTGCCCTCCTGGTCAGCCGAGTCGAGTGGCAAGAACTCCTAATGCGGACGGTGTCAGCAGGACGCAGCAACAAATGATGTAAGTATCCAAACTGCCCTTCCGTTTGCTAAACTCTAAATCGTGAACACTTTCCCGTACTCTGCTCAAATCTATTTCCCATTTTCCGCCGTCTTGCAGCCACCGCGTGTCATCTTCCACCTGGTGTCCGGTGTATTATTTCAAGTGCTTGATATTTTCTGCATGTGCGTACGACCTCAAAAACTTTTACGTTATACCCGTTAGCCCGTCGAGTTAATGAAGCGTCTGATTTCACTTGGCCATTGATCTCCCCTCCCGCCATATTTGCAGATTTGAAGTGAGCTATATAACCTAATTTATTCGTAATTCATAATTAGAAAAAAACATTTTCAAATATTGCACAGCATGAAAGTCGTTTTGAAACTCCATAAACCTCGTAGACACGTCCTTGTAATGTTTTTAATTATATCCAAATTGTGTGAAAGGAAATTTTAACGATGAGATCCCCAAACATCAGACGTGTTTCAGCTGTCAGGAACACTACTCCGCCAGCGCTCCGAGACAAACAACGAGAAAACAAAGCACCAAGCGACATAAATATAATGCCCATTCATTCCAGTGACCCCTATAATCGTTAAGACGAAAAAATAAGTCAGTAAATATGCAGCCAGAGCAAAATTTTCCTCAGTACCAACAGACCTACTTATATAACAGGCTTCGGTATCATGGAGCCCATTTTCAAATGCTATGTTATGTTATGTTCCAGCTTCGACAAGATTTCTTTGTCATGGATTCCGGTTCATCACAAATTTTCACACTTTTTGAAGAGAGCCGATGTCTTGGATAAGCGAGCTCAGCACATCTGAGGACAACATTTTCAATGTGATACTTCCTTCCTTATTGGGCAAGCTTATGACAGGCCACGGCGCTTCAGAAAAGGAAGTTCTAGCTGGAGGCGTGTTAATGTTGTGCAGATGTAAACACAATTTACATTTTTTTGTTAATGAACATCGCCCACATGCGAAATGAAATCATACGATCGGCTGATGACGTAAAGCCAGCTCACAGAAAGGAATTATTTAATGAAGCGTTCTCTTATGTTCCAGTTATGTTCAGAATTTAATACGATGATAATTTTGACTGACGAGTGTGACAAGAATTACGTATTTTTACACGAAATCAACATCTTCTGAAGGAAGAGACAGACGTCTTAGGCCATATGTATTCTATGTAGAAGGAAAAAATGGACCACGAATAGAATAAAGTGTTCACTAAGGCTCGCACTGTACCCCCCCCCCCCCGAATGGTGACTTGCAGAAAAAACTTTTAATGCATGTAATTTACGTAATCCTAGACTTAGGTAAAAAAAACTGTTTTTCATCGCCCATACTACATATTTACATGAGACAAATAAATAATTTTTGCAAAGTAACATTTGTAACGAAGCAATATGAACATAAATTAATTATAAATTAAATCCACCTCATAACATTAAGCGCTTACTTCTCATACAAACATTTATCATAACGCAAGCAGCAAGGCAATTGGACTTACAAACGAAACTTCGGTTTGGGCTGACAGTGATCTAATTTTAATGTAGATCACTGTATTTATCGCCACACGTAAGAATCATGAAGCACTCCTAGTGTGTGTAAATTCCTAACACATTTTCTAATCTGCCTGTCCACGTGCATAACTGTCTACGCCCACGCAGATCAACTAAACATGAGTATGAAGGGCGATGAACGTGATCGCCCATAACTTCAGCCCTGAAGATGGAAGCATTATGTTCGTCCGAAACGTTGGTATCTACCTACGAGTACCCAGGGCGCTACGACCCAGAAGACCAACATCGGAATGTCGCGGCCCGCCGTGAATAAAGTTTCCCTTCTGTATTTATTTCAGACATTTCTGCGCAAGTGTGGCCGGACCATTTCACGCAGGTGTGCAGCGTCGTTGTGGATGAGGAACCGACCACGACAAGCGTGATGTGACACCCGGGGACCGACAACAGCCTCTTGTCTGCCGATCGGCGACAGGAGATCGCCTACACAGACGTGTGACAAAAAAAAAATGAACGAGGTGCCCCGAAACATTCGTCAGCCTCCACGATTCAAATTTTCCATGGCTACTCTCAGTTTCGTTGAGTGTGATGTGCCAGCTGGTCGGGCCTGTCGCATGTCTCACTCTGCCCACTACGAATGCTGGAGCGAAAGAGAAAGAAGTTAAAGGGACGACGAAACAAACGGATAAGAAACGACAGATATCGTAA